ATACTATATATAACTTTTTATATATTTACTAATATTTTTAATCCAATAAATTCTGCTTTTTTAATACCAAATGTGAAGTCAAAAAGGAAGTTTAGACTGAGAGCAGAGATTGCCTTGATGAGAGCTAAGTACTTAATAAATTTCAGTTTGGGTTAAATTATGTAGAAGCATAAGTCTGTTTTGCTTTCCATGAAATGAGTATCTATGTTCCTAGATTAGAGCCCTCTAGGAGGTTTACCTATAGAATGGAGTGACTGTGTCATTTTTGTAATGGATGTGTATCATAACTCAGTTATGGCTTATGAAATTAATGTCAAACACTGATTGTCTGATTTTGCAGGTTTTTACCCTGGAAGGTATAACAGTAACACACTGTATCCACCTGTAATCCAGCATATGTGAAAAAACAATCTTTGAATTTCTTCTTCCCCCAGAATGAAGAAATACATCTTTCATAAACAATTTTTTAAACTTCTTTAGGTGTTTCTGGTACTTCTGTGGAAAAAAATGTCACTTTGGACAGTGCAACTCAAGTTGAACTTTCATGCAGATTGGACAAGAAATATTCTCATTTGAAAAGTCTTCAAGTGACTTGGAAGAGGGGAAATGAAACAATCGGACATATCCATAAAACTGAAAACAGCTGGAGCATCCAGTAAGTAGCGTTCTTTACAGTTCGACTCGCAGGTTCTAAGGAGTTATCACAAGCATACACACTGCCAAGTACTAATCATGTATATACTAGAAAATAGCCAAATGTGGTGATTAATATATGCCCATAATCAACATATTAAAGCTGCAGGAAAGGAAAAAGGTTGCAGTTACCTTGAGCCTGGAGGAGGAGCTCCTGTTCTTCCTCTAGTGCTGGAGAAACAAGGTTTCTTCAAGAAAAGAATGTGGAGTAAGGACACAGTTCTTTGAGGTCCAGTAATAAGTGAAGTAGTAATCTCAGTCTGAGATTGCTAAAATTACTCCATTTCTTTTTCCACATTCTCTTTTCCACTGCAGTGTTGCTTTGTAGATGTCTGAAAGGCATCAATGGCCATGTGTTTTTGTTCATTGTTAGCAAAAGAGACAAGAAATTGCCATTACAGTACAGATGTTTGGGATTTTTAAAGGTTTTTCTTAGCTCCTTCAAACCTCTACAGAGACTCAAGAAATGTTGTAGCAAATTTTGTTAAATTGATACAATTTACTGCTGGACTTTAAAAATCTGTAGATGGGCTAATTTTAACCGGTAGTCTCCAGTTGATTTCTGTATTGCTTTGGTTTCTTAACATCAATAATATAAAATTTATATGATAGAAAATGTGATGAGAATGTACTGTCACTTTTCTTTGCCATATACACACACAACCATGTAAATATTTTTCAAAGTGCCTGTGAAATGTATAGTTTGCCAGCAGAGAAGATGCTGGACTTCATTAGATGACAGCTCTTTAAAACTGTTCTGTGTTGGAGCTATGCTAGCTATTGACTGACTGGCTTTAGAAAGAACAAACCATTTAAATAATCTCTTATGAAGTCCTACATAGCCTATGCTTTATAGTTCACATGGTGAACCCACATCTAATTTGGTAACCTGTAGATAATACTGCTTAAAGATGTTTGGCCTTCTGTGAGCATCAAGGGTGAAAATGGTATTTATGTTCCCGGTGTGTTCTTCTGATTTCTTAAAAATGTCATGCTGTTTTTACATTGCACTAAACGTGGTGCATCCTAGTGTTTCAGCAATGTATGTTCTCTGCTCCACTACTAATCTCTGCTGGCTTCTTTGGAATGTTTAGCAGTCGCTGATAGTTGTAGGACAAAAGAAAATACAAGCAAAAAAGCAAAATAGTTAAACTTTTTTTTGAAGATTGAGGATCTTGGATGACAGTAAGCTGGGAAGTTACAGTTGTACTCTGAAAGGTGAAGAAGAAATCAGCGCTATGTTTCATTTACAAGGCAAGTTACTTTAAATTTTGCTTTGCTTGACCATTGAATCCTTTCTTCTGTTTTGTATTCTCTTCACCAGTAATGTTGCCCTTGACAGTAGTAGACAAAATCCAGTTGAATAGAAGACATGTGGAAATGAAACAAATACAAGTTGCTGAGAACCTTTATCACTGAGAGCTGTTCTCTTGTCTATTCCCACCATCCAAATTTTGCAGAGAGCAAGGCAAGCATTTGGTCTGTGAAAGCTCTGCAGACTGATATATAAGAAAGATCCTCCCTGAACACAGATTCCTAAACTGTAACTCTTCAAATAACTACCCTAATGTCAGCTGAACTAACCAGCAGGACTTTGTAATTCTCCAGTGCTGCAAGCTGGCTTTGTTCAGTGGGGTATCTGGTCATGAGACTTGAGGAAACTCTCTCATGTATGTTTAAGTCTTGAATAGTAATGTTGATACCTGTTTTCAAACATTCAGCTGGGGGAGACTAGCTTACAATACTGAAGAAAGACAAAATTGTAGTGTATTCAGGCCTTTTAATCTCAAAAAATTATTATATATTTTTCTGGTCAATGTGTGGGTAAGATTTAGTTGAATGGCTACCCAAGTCTTTTTTTTATTTTAAAAAGAAAAAGTCAAAAGAGACCTTATTCTTTTGAAAGTATACAATAGCTATTTCAGTAAGGGCAGGAGTGACTCAATAGGGAAGTCATCTTTTCCAGAACAGTGCTTAGCACTGGTTGATTTATTACAAGAAGATGGGAGAATTGCTTCACAATGGTTGGATGCTGCCACTTCTGATGCCATAAAAAGTACTGGCTTGAGACTTCAAGATTAATGCAAGAGTGAAGGAAATGGGAAAGAGAAGTCCTTGAATCTTCCAGTCAATAATGCAGAGAGAACAATTCTTGAACTGAAAGATGAGTAATGTGTTGGTGTAGACTGAGTGGCTAAAGTCATCACTGCTGTAACTAACTGCAGTAGCGTCTCCACTAGGCAGTTAGGCATTATTGGATGTGTTGCCTCTCCCCTCTTTCCCCTTTCCCCCATCCTGGCTTGGCATAACCCTGCAGATTTTGAGGAGCTGAGCTTTTACCCAGGTCTGCGGAAACCGTAATGTTTTGAGATGCTTATAGGAAGTTCAGATTATTAAACATGGAGACCACTTCAACAGTGTTTTTCTGTGCAGCAGCAGTGTTTTGTCACCAAATTCTGGGTGATATACTTGCAAAAAAAAATACCTGAGGCAAAGCATATTATTCCCTTGCATGCATTCAAGGATTAACCACTCTGTTACAGAGCCAGATCTCAGAACTCATGATGGATATTCATGTCCCTAAATCATGGCTAATGTGGTAAAGGTATTGCTGGTATGCCTATAGCTGTGCTTTACTATTGATTAGCATGGCTAAATCTCTTTGACTACCACATAAACCTATTGTGCTGCTTACAAGGGTTTTTTTTGTTTTCACATGTTCCATTCTTTTCCCCCAACCTGCTTCTGTGCTTCCTCTTCTATAAATTGCAAAGGAAGTGGCAGCAGTTATTAGTAAAGTTGTCCCTTTTACTGATACAAGTGAAGATACTCCACCACTACTCTTTAAAAGGATAGTGTTTAATGATTAAAACAAATACATATGGAGTGAGAAGACCTCACTAGTAATGAGGCTGGATTGATGTATGGTGTAGCAAATTCTGAGGTTGTAAGCAGTGTTCTTACTAACAAAATGGTTTCATACATATTTCTGGAATGGAACTTTTTAAGTTTGAATACTCATGAGAAGTGAACTTTTCAGGACAATTAATTTGTGCTCAGCCAGTCAACAAGGGAAGGTAACAAGAACAGTCTTAGTTTATACCAAATTGTTCCATCATAACTGCTGAAAGCAAGTTCTTGGCCTGTTTAGTCTTGTGTGACCAATATAATTTCAAAGATGTGCTGGATCTGTACTTACAAGATAGAGCAATGAAACTTGAAGTAAAACTTAAAATAAATGGATCTGAGGAAAACATGCTGGTAAACATCCTCATGAAGAGGGAAAGAAGGGGGAAGGGGAAATGCATGCTCTATCATGATGTATTTGCTCAGCTCTAATTATACCTCTGGGATACCTCAATATATTCAACAGTGTTTTTCAGGCTTTTGCTCTTGGGAGGCTGTAGGGTATCTGCAGTTATGATGGTGGGGACAAGTAGCTCTAAAGTTATAATCTGATGTCTTGTTGTGGCCATGTTCTGTCCTTAGCAAGATTGGACCAAAAGTCCTCTTTACTGGCATGTACCCACAAGCTGTTACCTCAGCTTAGAAAATGTTTGTAACTACAAAGCTCCTTCAATTTGCAGTTTTGTCTTGAATACAAAAAAAAGTTCTCTGCATGCACAACCTGCCAGATACCATTATGGGGTAGCATTATGGCTGGAATAGACTTCTATCAGTTCTTGCAGATTGAGTGAAATTGCAGAAAAATTAGTATGTTTTTTCCCTAGGGTACTAGAACTGAAGCATGTAGCTCACAGCTGTCAGGGAAGGAAGAGAGGAAATGGGCAAGGGTAGAAATCACAGTCTGATTATCACTTGGTTTTCAGTATTAATTGGCACCTTTTAAGATCATACAATAACTGAGAGTGGGATTCCTGTAGTGTTCTGCACAAATTCTGTATGTGGAATATCAGCCTGAAATGACTCTTCATTTAGATCATATCATGAGTGATAGAATCATCTGTGTTTATGGGAAAAGGAAATGAATGGACTACTATAAATACATAGCTAAATATATTTTATCTTTTAGTAATACTGTAATTAAAACCTGTAGGTCTCACTTGAACTTTTTCCTACTTTTTCTTAGTACCGAAAATTGAAGGAAAAGAAAAACCCATAGTCAGTTATGAAGGAGATACAGCTGTAATGATTTGTAAAAGTTCTGGCTATACTCCCATTGCTTGGACCTGGTATATGACCAATGGCAGTGAACAGGTAAGGTTTCCATCTGTTGGTCAAGCAAAACAATGTGGCAAAAAACAAATACAGACACTTTGTAAAGTATAATGACTTCTTGCTGTAGGCTCTACAGATTGCCTTTTCATTAATGTTAATGTAAATCTCTGCACATGGGAAAAAAAAGTCTGTGATATTTAGAAGTATTCATTATTGCAGGGATGTAGTTTTTGTTCTGGTTTGTGTGATGTTTCTTTTCCAAAAACTCCCTGCCATATTCTTAGAGCCCAGATAAGACTAAAACAAACCAGGTGAGTCTTGAGATACTTGTCTTTAATATTGTAATGATGGTTATATTGCTCAAATCTTACAACTTGATACTGCAAAAATACCTTATTATAGCAGGACACTCTTTAAAAGGCATGTAAGGTATTGGGAGGCTTGAGGGAGAACAGGAGCATGTCCCTCTTCCTTCTGCTCCAGGTGCAAGTACTTGTGTATTTCCCAGCCTGTATGATCTCTGGGGCACCGGACCTGAAGGAGGTTGTCCTGTGCCACTTGATTCTGAAGGAGCTGACATCTCTGCTCACTTAGACTCCTCCTCTCTTAAAGGCTGTGAGGAAAAATCTTGCTCAGCAGTCTTCCTCCTTCATATACCCACCTTGCAGGATCCCGCTTAGCCTTGGAAGTGTAGCTGCTGTGTCCTAGCCCTTGTCTTTTCTGGGGGAAGCACTGTCAACTGAGAGGACGTAAATAGATTTGTCTCCTCTATGCTGCTGGAGAGTAGCATTGACTTGTAAGACAATCAACATACTTCCCAGTGAAGCAGCATTCCCAGCTCAACTTCCTTGAAAGTGGCTTTGTGCTGTGGTGAAACCTGGATGTTAGATCCTGACACCTGAGGCTGCCTTTGTCAGTGGAGAGTCAATAGATTCAAGGGTACCTTTCATCTGATCTTAAATAGACTAAAACAGGTAGACCACTTGCATGCTAAAAGTGCATGTTTTCCTCCATTGAATGTAAAGGGAACCAGGGTGGCCAGCTAAGATAAATCCTTCCCTTGGAAGTGGACTGAACGTGTTTCACAAATGCCACTTGTTCTTAACTCATTTTACACCTCTCTCTATAGAACTATCTGTTGATAATATAAATAATGTGATTAAATAGTTTCCCATTGCATTATAAGACTTGTATTTTTTTATTTTCAGATTGCCATTAATGACTCTTTGCTGGCAGACAAGTATGTAATTAATAGAATATCTGCCAATGTAACCCATCTGAAGATACTGAAGCTCACCAAGGAAGATGATGGTGTATATTGGTGTGAAGCTGCTTTTGAACTAGGAAAAAGTAAAGGAAAGCTGAAGCTTAGAGTTCTGTCCCTCATGGTGCCTCTCAAACCCTTTCTAGCAATTGTGGCTGAAGTTGTTATTTTAGTAACAATTGTTTTCCTTTATGAGATGTATTCAAAAAAGAAAGAGAAATGTGCACGTAAGTCTTTTTTGTCTTTTCTAGCTTTCCATTGAAATTGCAGCCAAAGGTAGAAAGGGATGACCCACAGCACTTCATATATGAAGTTTAGTGTGATTTTTCACATCTGTATTTTTTCTGATAAAATACTTCTACAACATTGCATTATTTTAGATTTTTTTTTTAAATACTTTCTGTGAATCTAGAATTCAGGTACAAAGTGCTGTCAAGAACCAATACTTTCTGATAAAGAGTTTGATATAGTCCTCATTTTTTTTCCTTACAAGACAGAGGAATTTAGAGGCTATACATTTTTGGAGGATGCTTAGGAATGGAAGCAACTGTTAGTAATCTCAATGGGAGAAACTTCAGTCAAGAAATTGAGTAAGAAGGAAAAATGCATTAAAACACAACACACTAATGTTGGTTGCTGAATCTAAGGCATACATCAGTGAGCTGAACTAGAAGTGCAAGATGAAACAGAAGTGACATATATCTGAAAAAAAAATCTATGTGTATATATGTGTCTATGCATTATACATACATGTATACATGTATTTTTCAATATATATGTATATATAACATGTTATGTATTAAAATCAGATTAATAAAACTTGATGAAAGTAGGTTTTTTGACAAACTTCCAGGTAATTCCATTGAAGAGAGGAACAAGATAATTTGAATTAAATTGAAGAAAACTAATAAAATTTTAAAGATTTTGTTTTGCTTATACATGGAGTAAATAATATAATTAAACAGAACTTTTCTACTGTTTGTTAAATTGAGACCTTATATAATCCTTTTTCTGTTATGCAGAAGATGGAAAAGAATTTGACCAAGTTGAGCAACTGTAAGTAAAGAATTTGTATACTATAAATATTTGCTTCTTTGTATATTGGTGTGTTATATAAAATTATGCTATGTTGTTGACCCAGTTGGTAAGGGTTAATGATGAATGTGAAAGTACAGTTTATTCCTTTCCTTAAGACTTCTGAATTCCAGAGTGTGCAGAATGCTGTTTTCTACTTGGCACCTAATTTTGGTGTTTGGAAGGTATTTCACTTTTTTGTGAGAGTACCATGTGTCCTCGTTATAAACTCATTCTAAAAGGATGTAACTATGAGGAAAACCACTTTCAGGTAGAAATTTTACAGAAAAGGCTTTGAAATTTTTTTTCTCATATGTATTTTTTTAACATACATTTCTCTCGTATGTGGTCAAAGCCCTAACTGTCCGAGGCAAGGCTGTAGTTGCTGGGGTGTTGGGGGCTGTTTTGGTGGTAACTCCAACCTCTTGGGGGGGCCTCTCACTGTGCTGATGGCTTGGGCTCCCTGGGCACAGGAACAGCTGCACTACTGGAGCCAAAGGAGCAGGTGTAGGCACTTTTGTTGCTGTTGAGGGTTGGTGCTCCTGTGCTGGTTCTCTCCTCCTTAGGATGATGCATCTGTAAAGGCTTGCTTGCTAAAGTAAGATATACTTCTCTCCCTCTGCCCATCCTTTGAAGCCCAGTCACTTCATTTAGCCTGTTAACTTTCTTTTTGTTTTAAGATGCAGACTTGTGGTTCTTCTTTTTAGATGTATCTAGTCTACTCCAGTTTTCTTTCCCCTCGGTCTTTTCTCTCCTATGTTTAGCTCCCTTTTTTGTCCCTCTGAGTAGTGCCATCTTTCCCTATTTGAATTTCTTGCTGTAGTGACCTTTGTTTCCCTGTGTTGTATTCACCTTCTCATTCCTTTTCCAGTGCTAGCTGAAAATGTATTTTAGTGCTTTTCCCCTTATCTAAACAGCTTTATAGCTGTAATTCAATTATGCTATAAAGTGGGCATATGTCTTGGGAATATAGTATGCTATTATACTGCCGAGTGTTTGGGGATATGTCTTGGCTTGACAACTGAATAATTGCCCTTGTTGCACAGCCCTGCTTCTTCTAAACATCCTGAAACTGTATTACAATAGGATTGTAACACAGTTTAGTGCACTAAAATAATGTTTTCACGCTTGAGATGTGGGATGTAGTTTTGATCAGCTGCTTGATCTTTACTTGGGAGTTGTATCTTAGATAAAAACATATAAAGAAAATCTGTTAAACCATATACTTTTTGCCTGATTTTAATAACTGAAAGTTACTTCAACTACTGGCTGTTTAGAAGATAGATTTGTGTACCAGAGAGAATGGCTCCAAAGGAACTTTTCTGTTCTGTAATGTCAAGTGATGACTAATACACAGCTGAACTTTGTTGATGAGGCTGTAATTAAAATGTCACATCCAACAATGTATTAGGTGGGAAGCTAGTGATTCAGAAACAGAATTTTTTTAGCAAGAGAATTGTTAATTCAAGTCTTGATTGTGACCAGCACCATATAGCTGGTTGTAGGTACTCTAGAAGGAGCAGTCGTATGACTGTTTCAGCCCTTGTTCTGAGGATGTTGAGCTCTAGATTGCTTCTATATTATTTGAGCATTTGCTTTACATACAAATTCTATACACTGAATGAAATGATAGTGCAGCAATCATTTCTGGGAGTACCATCACTGTTATAACTTCTGCCCAGACCTTTGTGGGATTTTTGAAGGGGATTGAGTTGAGCCTTCATTACTTGGCTGAAAGACTGCAAGAGTCAGTATTTTGGTTGCTTAAGTTTTGTTTAATCTTTTTTCTTATAACTTCAAATGCTAAAAGAGAGAAAATCAAATACATTTTACATGTACTCTGTGATTGGATTGTGGGACTGGAATGACTGTGCTCATCCTGTACTTAAAGGTTGAGTTTTGGAATTTAATCTCTCTCTCTTACAGTAAATCAGAAGAAAGCAATGGTCTGGAAAACAGTAGTGCTAGGCACAGAAAAATTTGATCAGGTTCCTAAAAAGGTGAGTAAAAGATGAAACAGATGAGTTTACTTTTCTCTTCAGCAGCCTAATACAAGGACAAAGAAATCCACTGTGCCATCCCAATCTGCTTTTTTTTTTTTTGATGTGGGAACAGAGTAATAGAACTGTGGTTTAGATAAACAATATATATTCATTCGACAATTTGTCTCGCATATCTTCTTTGAAGCGGACATGGTTTAGTGGCGGACTTGGCAATGTTAGGTTTATGGTTTAACTTGATGATCTTAAAGGTCTTTTCCAACCTAAATGATTCTATGATGTAATACCAGCAACAAAGTGAGTCCAAAACTTTTTAATTTAATGCTGTCATCATCATTGTGGTTTAGTAGTTCAGTTCACCCATGCAGTCCTTAAAACAGGACCTAGATTAACCTGCTTAATTGCTTGGCTCCTAATCATGAAACATTTCTGTGAATGCCAGGGTAGGTGCTGAGATGCATAAGAATTGCTGATGTATCCTAAATCCTGCTCTTTTAGGCTGTATTTTGGGTGTCAGCTGAGTTTATGGAGGAAGGATGCAAGTGTAGTAGCAAGTGGGGAATGTGACAGTGCCAGAGATGAAACAAGGGATTACAGGAGTCTAGCAAAGACGACAGAGCTTAATAGATGGTGACTGAAGGGATTAGTGGTAGAAGAAGGAAGCAGAGGATATGTAGCCCTGTGGAAGCTATGTCATGAACTCCCCTGATTGTCTGCCCTCTTCACAGTCTAATTACAGGCTGCTTCTACTTATGCCAGCTGGAAATGCTTGTCAGAGGATGGTCTGTCAGTTGAGGACCAATCCTACACGCTCCAGCTATTTCCTCTTCTTGTTCTCCCTCTGCATTTGGCACCCCAATCTCTCACCTCAAGATGAGAGGTGTGAGTGACTTTGCATTCATGTCACTGCTGGTACTGTTTTTCCTCATCACAACCCATCTATCTGAAGGAAGATTGTTTCCCTATCCCTTGTTTTAAAGAACAGGAAGAGAAGTGTCAGGTGAAGTTCATGTAAAGACAAATCAGAAAACAATCAAGAACAATACTTTCCAAGAGTGTATTGTCTCCTCTGTTTCCTGCATGTTATTCTACCTGTTGACTGCTGTGACTTAGGTTCCAGAGGATTTATCCCATATTGGATCTAAGGTCCCATTCTTGTAAAATCGTTTTGGCACATGACACTCAGTGGATCACTAAGGATTCAGATTTGCAAATTGGACCATACAAAAAAATTGTAAAATATAAACTGGAATTAAGTTTGTTTTCAAACAAATATGGGAAGATACTAAGCAGCAAAATAATAGAACTTGTTATATGGAAATGTGTGTTCTTTTTTAATTCAGGAGATTTAAGCCAACAGAAGTGGAAATCGTCACAAAGCTACAGAAGATGTATGCGGCTATGCATTTTAAACATCCACTATGCTTCTAAGCAAGCTCGTCTACACTTATAGGAAATGAGATGCTTTTAAAATAGCTGTGAAACTGCTCATTTTATACAGCTGATAATGTAGTCTACATTTAGACCTTTGTCTGTAGCATTGTTTATCATTTTACTGCTAAAAGGTGGTTTTTACGTGATCAGACTTCCTGTTGTTTTATGACTGATCTGTTTGATTTTGTCTTAAATTTGAACTAACCTTGTATTCACTGAATGACCAGGTAATGTAGAACGGGCCTATTGTGTAGGTGTGTTGAAGCTGGACTTCTAAGATCAAAAAAGTATTTCCACCAAAGAAAAATGCCTTTTACTAGCAGATGAAGCAAATGTGACACAGCCATTTTTACCAAAGTGATCAAAGGGGAATCTTTATCATGATTTAAATGAAACATTAACAGTTTTGCAGTTTGCTCTGAACAGTAAAATGTCTTTAACTTTTCTTAGCTTCATTAAATGAGAAAGAAATATAGGTACATTCTGAATACTTAAGATACTAATTTTCTTAAGATGTCCTGCCATATATCTCTGTTACTATACTGTAATTCTAAATAGGCTAAACACTTAAAATGTTGTACAGATTAGATATTTCAGCAGTATTTCAGAGTAGATGAAAGAAGCAAAGGGAATACAGTACCATAGCAGAATATAACTGAAGTATTTCCTTACATGTGTGCAAATTACTACAGGATCTGAGAGCTGCAAAAACAGGTTTTGTGATTATAATTTATACAGAACACAGAAATTTCACAAATATACCTATATGGTTGTTATCATACATCCTGTCTAGCTGGTACTTTTCTTGCAGCATATTGTATTGTTCCTTAAATTCCTCTCAGAGCCCAGAGAAGGTCTTGAGTAGCTAAAATTTTCAGGGCAATAGGATAAAGCAACATGAATAACGTTAGTTCTCTTATACATAAAATTGTGACACTGCTGTTACAACTTACAATACTGTTTTAGAAAAGCTAGTTGCCATAATACTAAATGCACTGTTTAGTTACATTATGCATTCAGCAATTCAAAAATGTGCAGCTAATAGAAAAACAGTTGTTGCATTAGTTGCCTTTGCTTGCTAATCCAAAAGAAGAATATGAAAAACTTCCATTTTAAGAAAGGGAAAAGTAAAGTCTTCAAAAGAATTTCTTCCTTCAACAAAAACGTAAGGAAAAAAAAGGCAGTGTTTGCAAATTCCCTGGGAAGCGAAAAGAAAAAACATCTAAATAGAATTTCCTCAAAGTGGTCATTTCTTGTGGAACATAAAGAAATACAGAAGAATAAAATAGATCTAATTCCCTTTATTTTTTTCTATTTTACTGTTCTTTTGGGTTTGAAAACATCAGAAAGCCTAGCGTTGGCTGTTTTTGTTGGAGATGGGGGGACAAAATCCAGTCTTATCTATGTTTTTTTTTCATTTTCATGGTGTATTTTGCAGCTTTAACAACTACAAGTTAAAGTCCAAATAAAAAAAACAATAGGAAGTATATAAGCATTAAGTGATTAACTGTAAGGGCTGAACACTGATAAAGATTTCCCTTGCTAAGATACTGTGTTTATTGTATTTTGCCTTGGAGTTTCTATGCACTATAAAAAATTGGAATGCATTTACATGTTTTGTATGAATCTTATCATTGATATAACAGCATTTTTGTTACAGCAAGTAAATGTTTGCAGTTTAAAAAGATTTATTTTGTATACTAATTGTTTGAAACATAATTTTATTTTTTGTAGTAACCAGATATTTTTTTGTAGGAAATTCAGTAGTAAAAAATAAGCTTCCTTACAGATTTGTAAGAATTAGATTCTGAATAAAGCAGAATTAATATCCTTTGCAACAAAAAGGAGGGTAGGTACTATCTGGAAAAAAGCCCACCTTTTAATCAAAAATGGTAACAACTTATTTCTACCTTCACTTTTTTTATTCCTGCCTGATCTTGAAATTGTGATATGAAGTCTTGGCCAACATGGGCAAGTTACATTCATAGATACTTTCTTGGTGTGAGCAAAAAAGGGCTGCACTGAAGGCAGGCAGGAACTGGAGAACCTGGATTAAGCATGGATTTTAGATCTGTGATGTGTTCCTGCTGTCAGGACTGTGTTAGAGTTTGGTCAAATTGGCTGGCGTAACTGTGGCTTTGTTTTGAACCTCCCCCTGCCTCTAGCATGTTCTGCTTGCCATGCCTGCAAGGGGTTTGGTGTTTATTTTTAGGTTGGCAAGTAGTTTTTTTCATCTTGGTAAGTGGTTTTATTCCTCATATGTCTGTCTCGGTTCAAACTTTCTTGGGTTCCCCTAAAGAGAGGGCTAATAAATAATATTAAATGATACATTGGCATAATTAATGATCAGAACTTCAGAGGCATAAACCCTACTTTTTTTAGTCCAGATACCACATAGGAAGCTCTGGAAATCTAGAAATGTATATTTTGAGAAATACATATTGTATATATTCAAAACATTCCTACTGCAGTTGCTTTGTATATCTGTTTTATTATACAAACACAGCCTTTAATAGAACAAAACTTCAGCAACCTCAAAAAACCAAAACTCTAGGCAATGATTTTTTTACCTCATTCAAGCTGAGAGATACCGAATGACAGCCAAAACATACTTCCTTCAAACAGCAGTTAGAGCTAAGTGTAAGGATCCAAAAAATTAGTTTTAATAACAAACATTAATGTGTAATAATTGACTTAGGTGGGCAGGCTGAGCCTAACCATTATACTTGTTTGGAAAAATCTTCTTTTCCAAGATCAAATCCTTGTTTTCTTGCAAAAGGTGATATGTTATTGGTTTCTGTACCAATGAAAGCCTTACCCATTTCTTAGAGGAAAAGATAAAAATCTGCAAAAGAATTCTGAAGGGCTGTTTCCTAATGCTTCAGACTGGTCACTGCAAATTCCTCCTTTCCGTAGGTCCAAAGTAGACACAAACAGCTGTGAGATGAGATTCCTAGTGAGGCCTGACAAATGTTAGAACAGTTTCCAAACTCTGAGCTTGGACAGAACTGTATGAATATTTCCTTAGGATTGAGACATAAGAATTACCCAGTTGTGGGCCAGGATAGTTAAGTGATTAGCTATAGGTCATTTGACATGCACAGTCCTGAGGAAGAGAGGAAAAACCCATCAGTATTGATGTTGCTACTCAAATCAGCATCAATGTGCCCCTAACTGTTTTTCAGCCAAAGAAAATGAGGTTTATATTCTGCCTTAAATTCACCCTCAAAACTTTTCAACACTGCTGAGCAATTAAAATTAGAAAGAGACTGATTGGTGCCTTCAATGCAGGGGGAGTTTTTCAGTTGAGTGGTCCTTGAAGTGTTGAGCTACCCAGCACACGCAGGCTGACCCATCATGTTGCAGTTCTAGCTGGGAGCTCCCCAAAAATAGGAAGGGGCAAGAAATGAGGAAGAAGCCACTTGCGAATGGTTGTAGGGACATGGGAAGGACCTCCATAGGGGTCCTGAGGGACAGACAGCAGAAGCTGAGATGACTTACAGTTAGATATGTACAGGGAAGATAGAGTGTAAATCTGTAGGAGAAATGT